GAACTTAATAGGGATGCTACAAAAAACGGATCAGGAATTTTCCAGATAACAAAACAAAACATTGTTTTAAAATTAATACCATGCAGTATTCTGAAGTGGTGGCAAAGGAAAAACAACAAATAAAGATTTAGAATGAATTACCTATAGTTTCCATTTTACGGTGCTTTTTTCTTAGAAGCTTTTTTATCAGAAATACAGGATATTAATTTCAAGGGAAAAATGTGTGCTTCCAGGTGAACAGAATGGGAGAACATCATTTTTTGAGAACTGACTTTAGCATTTTGTTCAGAAATTTGTATTCCAATGAATTATAGTGGATATTGGGTCATATAAGATACACCTTGAGAGATGATAAGGAATGGTCAGTACTCAAATTCTCAACAGAAGCACATGCAGTCACTTTGTATTTAGACAAAAGTAGGAAAAAAAAAGCAGTCAGGATCCTTTAGCTAGCTTGACCACATTCAAATGCTATTACAAAACCTCTGTGCTTCCAGAGAGTTCTCAGAGTTTGGCTGATTCTTCTGAGACACCTTATCCTCCATCTTTTTATTATTCCTTGGTAATATTTTCTATTCAAAGCATTCACTGTGATTTCTAAAAGTATGAAATCATATATCCCACAGACATGGATGAATGGATACGGTCTTTGATGTCTGCATGTAAGAAGTGATATTTGGAAGACAATGTAAGATAATGTATGCAATGAGAAATAAAAGGCAAAGATACTGCTGTTCACACTGGAAAATGATCTCTCAGGTGAATGGGTAGAATGTCTTAAGAGTCCTGGAACCCTGTCATTTTTAGAGTTAGATCTCTTAATTAGCAGGACTTGCTATTTTACAGTCATGTTGCCTATGCAAGAGAGAGCTTCACTCATCTTTGCTTCGCATAGCAATCTAAGCACTCACTCAGCACTCTGAGAAATCCAGGGTTTCTCAAGAGAGTGGCCTAAATAACAGAAAAATTATACAAAGGCCCAGATGTGGAAGAGAAAAATAGAGATCTGAGCCACATATTCAGAGAAGGAGTCCTAGGCTATACAGCCCACTCCTATGGTCATATTTTTCACTTCTAAACAAAAAACAATGACTGCATGAGCTTGTCATGCAAACTGTTGACTCCACCTTTCCCAGTCTTTCTGTTTCTGAAAGAAAACTGCTATAGCTGCTTCACTTCACATTGAAATCAGTGCTGTTATTGCTTAGAAGCCTGAAGGTGCCTGGGAAGCACAAACAGCACCTGGGATCTGCTAGTTGAGCTCAGAGGTACCTACTAGTTATATCTGAGCACTGCTCGTGGAGCCATTCATTGACACACCGCACATGCTAACAGATGATCTCACACTGGACAGTAAATTATGAGGCTTGCTTATGCCTTTAAAAGATGCAGTATCTTCTATTTTTTAGTGCTCAAAAATGATCCACATGAGTGAGCTACCACATTACAAAAGGGACTGATGGAAGACTGACTAGCATGGGAAGTGATATTTAAAGCCATCTGTCATAAATTGTACCTCTCACTTACTGAATCTCAAAAAACATTGTTTTGATAATATAGGTGGGTTCTCCAGCAAGAAACAATGAACCCCGTTCTTTGCCAGAGGCAGCATTGCAGATACAAACAAAGCAGTAGTCAAAAAAGTAGAATTATTCCAGAAAAGTAATTAAGAACTCTGGAGTTGGCATTCTGTTGAAATCTGCACTCAAAGTAGGGTTGTAAGTATTCTTTTTCATGCTTCAGTTTCTGTATATAGCTTCCAAATTAAGCACCACCATCCATGAAGGAACCACAGATTTTTATTTTTTTTAATGACTTTGCTAAATATTCACCAGTTTCTCTTTAATAGGAAAAAGATTTTTTTTTTTGCTATTTTTTTTCACATTCCAATTTAGATCATTCTAATTAAACAGCAAAACCTTCAAAACCCACAAACTATGAATTCATGATATGTCTTGCACACGTAATACATTTACCAGCTGTATCTTAACAACTATTCCTGCTAATGCTGAGAGCCTCAGTCCTCAGCAAAGTAGTCAAGAAGACATGGGGAAGAGCTGGCATTCTGTGGAAACTTGTGGAGCGCAGCACGAGCTGGGGAAGCATGGAGGACTGATTGGAAGATCGAGACCTGAGGAGCCCAGCAAAAATGTGCATGAGGCCTGGAAATGGACAGGTCCACGTGCTAGCAGAGCGATAAGGAAAAGTTATGGGAACAGCTCTCAGAACAGGCTGTAAGTGCTTAGAAATGGTAACTACCACTCGATTCCCTGCCTGCATATGATATGATAAGTAAGTCCTGTACAACTCCCCACTACTTCTGTGCCATATTTTCAACTGCCTTATGCAGCTTCAAGCAAAAACAAGCGGATGATGTTGTAATTTCTACATTTAAATTTATAAAAAATATAACTGCAAATTAATAGTGTGTATAATATTTCTTCCAAGTGGGAGAGAAGTATAAGTCACTGACAGAATATGAACTTGCTTATGATACCAATCTTTTTGCAAAACTATTCAAGAAGGTAGCAAGGTACCAAGAAGGAGGCCAATTTTTATTACATAAGCACAGCTGAAAGGTCATCACTCACACCCATGTACTATGCTACGTATGGTATGTATGGTAAAGGGAAAGTTGATGCTGACTATGAACATATAAAACAGGGAGTTGAGCATACAGAATAAATCCAGCAATAAGAATTATCACGGATCATCTTTTCACAGTTATGGCCACTGACAGTCTGATCCAAATGGACTATGTTTATCATCACTGCACTGAAAGACTATTGATCCAGCTTCATTTGACCTGCCCCATTCAGGTCAGCAATCCCTGAAAGCACCGATGCAGAAATAAGACTAATGCCAAATGGCAAAGACCTTGGCACTTCCTCTTAAAAAGCTACTTCTTCAATAGATCTGCTTCTGTCAGTGCAGGGATGTAGAAGAGTTGTCTGGAAAGCTTGTAAAGGCATAATTCCCTCGAGTATGGTAATAATGCATAATATTGAGGAACTCTATGCTTTGGGGATTTGATTCTTACGGAACATGAGGCCAACAGATACACTGGTGGTTTTCAGTGACTGAACACATACACTTGGGAAGGATTTGGTGGATACTTTCAGCATTTCAAGGCCAGGCTGGATGGGGCTTTGAGCAACCTGGCCTAATGGAAAGTATCCCTGCTTATAGCAGAGGGGCTGGAACTAGATGACCTTAAAGGTCTCGTCCAACACAAACAATTCTATGATTCTACGATCTCAAGTGACTAATATCTAACTTTTTCAGGTACGTTTATGAATATGTATTTGCACATGCTTGCACAAACAGCTGAGACAGAGGGAGACAAGCAAATAAATACACAGGATCTATACGCCTTTTTTTTTTTTTTTCCCCTCAGTAATTTATCCGTTTCCAAGGCCAGAATGCTTTCCCTGGCTCCATTTCCTAAAGTGATCCTCAAGTGGCAACAAGTGACCAGAATGATATTCATTTTGTCTGCTGGCTCTGGTTAGTGCACTTCTGAATTCATCCGCATTATCAGCAGAGTAGTACCTGTCGCTCAAGTTGCCAAGCTGCACTCAGCAGTGGCACAGAGAATAATTCTGTGATGTTCAGTACAATAACATAGTTTGGATCATTCTATTCTCTTGCAAATTGCAACATAGTCTTGGTTAATGTACACCACATTTTTCATTTCTGAGGAATATTCTTTCCTGAGGAGCAAACTGTATGTCAAATAAGAAAAAGGCATCTCTTTACATATTGCATTCATGTCGTACACCTATAACTCTCACACATTCCATCCTAGCAAATCTGACTTGCAGTTATGCACACTGGGCAAATTACTAATTACCAGAGATTAAAAATTAATAAAAACAAATTTTGAAAAATTAAGAGACTAAAGAAATTGGTCTTCTTTCTTCCCAGACCCATCATCTGATTAAAAAAAAAAAAAAAAAAAAAAAAAAGGATACAAGGCTGAACCACTGTGCTTTTATGGCACAAGATAGACTCTTTTTTTAAAATTTGCCATTCATCCCACTGTCACTGTCTCTTTTTTCTCCATTGCCTTTCTCACTCTAGCTGGTGGAAACACGTTTAACCAATTAAAATTACAAGGCAGTATCAGCTGTAGAAAAGTTTGTCCTCTTCCCCACTGTGAATGTAGCTGTACAATAATAGCAACATTCATTTCTGATGTCTAGATAGCTTGTCCCTCTGCATGGAGGAGACCATTATCCCGTGACTGTGTTCTGTTCTGCTGATATAATCTCTTAAATAAAGTTTCACTGTTTACTTTCTTTAATTGAAGTACAATAGAAAAGACATGGTCTTTGAAAAGCTTCATATTAGTTGCTGCCTTAGAGCTTTGAAGGTGTTTCAAGTTGCCTTTCAGCATACTTCAAAACATCTTGATGAAAGAGTGCAAATGGAGGTGGAGTGGGAATGTTACTGGCAAAAGTAATGCACTTATATTTTATGCAGGGTTATAAATGTTTACTTAACTGAAAACCTTCTGCCAACATTCTCACTATGGTTTTGATCCTCTTACTACTCTGCTAAGTGATAAAACCCTACTAAGCCTATAGACAAAGTATTTTTCTTGCCTGCCTTATTTTGTCCCTTTTGGAGCTTCTGAACCTGAACAGATAAAGTAAATTTGATTATTACTTTCTCTCCCTCTCTTTTTTTTCTTTTCTTTTCTTAATCCTTTCTGGGTTACAATTTCATTTATTTCATTTTCCATTATTTCATTAGTCCTAAAGGGGAATCGTCAAACAATGAAGAACAGGTTGGCAATGACAAATGCATGGGCAAACAGACCTGATACTGGCAGTCATTTTCCTTTTATTGTGGACTATTTGAACTTATTTAAAGCAATAAAAAAAGAAAAACATTTTAATATGGTCTAGAATAGAAACTAAGAGCAACTATGGTTGGCACACAGCTACAGTTAATTGAGTGTGCAAGCTGAGCAAGAAAAATGGAAAATTACTCACTGGTAAGAAAATGCTGGGAAGTAGGGCCAAAATCCCTGTGAGCTTCATGCAGTTGCCTGATGCGCTCATCAATGGCCACCTGTGAAGAGAAGAGGAAAAAAAAAAAAAAACCATGACTTTCTGCGAAAAGTAACAAGTAGCAATTATAGTCAGATACTTTTTTCATTAGAGAACATTCTGTTTAAAATTAAGAAGGCCCCTGCAAAAATCAGGGATTAACTGGGATTTAATGTGTCTTTTTCAAAAGAAAGGAGGTCAAAAGAGGTTTTTTTCCCCTAACTTAAATCGATGCTGAAACAAGTTAAAAACGAACAGGATGATAAATAAAGGTAAGCAAATTTGCCTGAGTATATGCACTTGCAAAGAATATGACCGTTGACTGCCATTACTGAAGTCAGAAACATTTCTTGATGTTAATACTTTTACTGAACCTAGTGCACAGGTACTTCTTGAGGGTACATGTTATAAATCAGCATGTGAAAAGTAATCTATTTTAATGTGGACACAGTAAACATATTTTAGAAGAATGCTGAATTGAGGGTAGTCAAATCACATCTGGGCGCAAACATTTATCTATTTTTTTTAATTATTATTTTATTTTTTATCACCTTCATCCTTTCTTCCGTGGAAGATGTTCTTTCAAGAAAATGTTATCCCTACTGTTTAGAGTTGGGTCGCTGGACTGCGTAGAAACAGATACACTACTTTTAAGATAGCTTTAATCTTTACAGTGCAGTTAAACATGAAGCAAGTAGCCAAGAGCATGCAGTTGCTGTAAGATTCCATAATATACCGATGACATCTACCAGAGCCATTACAGACTAGATGCTAAAAGGACACTATCAATTAAATTACGCATAGATGTGGGATTAGGTAAATCAAGAAAAAATATTCAAAATTAATGACATAAAATTTCAGAGATGTTTTAAATAAAACTGGTAGGGGGCACATTCACCTAAACACTGCCCATGAGCAAATGTTTTACCAACGTTAGCAAAGCAGAAGGAGAAAGGAACTGGTCTGTTTTTTTTTTAATTGTCCTGATTGTGAGATACATTACCAGGAAACAAAGAGTATGCATGACTAAAAAAGCAATCCACATTTTAAACTTTCAGAAATTTTTTTGGTTGGTGGAGGCAGGAACAATTCTGCAGTAACTAGTTATGATCCCATCAGAAGGAAAAAATAATGACACAAGTGACTTATTGTTTTATTTGAATGCGTTTGTTTACCAAATAACCCCCAGACTCTCACATATTCTTTCTGTAGACACAACAGAAATTTAACAGTAAGACTTCTTTTTCTTGTAGTTTCAGAACTAACACTATGACTAAAAAAAACCTCCTGCTTCCTTAAGCTACTTTTATGGATGCTTTTCCTGCTTTCTTCACTTCCGTACCTCCTTTCCTTCTCTGGCTAAATATGTACAGAATCAGTTTGGTTTTTTGTGTGTGTTTACCAGCACCTCCATCCATAGCTCAGCTACAAGTGTAATATTTTGACTTCAGTTCTTACAGGCCACTTATTTCTGTTGTGTTCTTGAATGCAGAATTGTTCAAAGTGAAATATTTGTATTTCAGGGTGGGCTCTGCTTTTTCTTTTCAATACTGATGATTGCTAGCTAGAGAAAAGTAAGCCTAGGAAAAGGTTGAACTCTGGATAACTTCTGAAACAGTTACGGTGACAACAACTCAAGCCTAGAGTAAATTGCATGGGCAGATGTTCTGTGAAGCAGTGCTTCATCATTTAGTGATGTACCATGACTGGTAGTGGTATGGATGGTAGCTGTCTTTGGGCTTCAATTCACTTTGAATTTATCATGTAGATACAAAAATGGGAAGTCTGCACAAAGATAGACAATAGTGATAATGACTGCTTCTGGCAATTTCATTAGCTTACTACAAAAGCATGAACTAATATGAAATAATTTTTAAACCAGAAATGCCCTTGAAATACTAAGAAGACCAGGAAGAAAATCTTCAATGTACATAAAACAAAAACATTCAAGTAAAAACAAAACAAAAAAAAAACCCTGAAAAAAAATGTACATGACTTCATATATATTCTTTGGAGACCTCTTAAAAAAACCTAACTTCCCTATTTTGTTATTAAGTCATTGTTGCCTGATGGAAAGGAATCTTGGTGTACTGATGGACAGTTGGCTCAAAATGAGCCAGCAGTGTGCCCAAGTGGCTTAGAGGGCCAGTGGCATCCTGGTTTGTATCAGGAATGGTGTGGTGAGCAGGACTAGGAAAGTCACCTTACCTCTGTACTCAGCATTGGTGAGGCCTCACCTCGAGTACTGTGTTCAGTTTTGGGCACCTCAGTACAGAAAGGACATGGAGGTGCTGGAGCAGGTCTAAAGAAGGGCAACAAGGCTTGTGAAGGGCTTGGAGAATGTGCCCTATGAGAGAGAGACTGAAGGAACTGGGGATGTTTAGGTTGGCAAAGAGGAGGCTGAGGGGAGACCTTATTGCTCTCTTCCAATACCTGGAAGGTGCTTACAGCGAGAACGGGGTTGGTCTCTTCTCACTGGTGACAGGTGACAGGATGAGGGGAAGTGGCCTGATGTTGCGCCAGGGTAAGTTTAGGTTGGATAACAGGAAAAAACTTCTTTACAGAAAGGGTTGTTAAGTACTGGAATAGGCTCCCCAGGGAGGTGGTGAGTCACCATCCTGGATGTGTTTAGAAAACATTTGATGTGGTGCTCAGGGACATGATTTAGCGGAGGGTTGTTAGAGTTAGGGCAGTATGGTCAGGTTGTGGTTGGACTCGATGATCTTTAAGGTCTTTTCCAACCTGAGGAATTCTGTCATTCCATGATTCTATGAGAATTCTCCTTGATTTTAATAATTACTTTCCAATAAATCCAGTAAGATGGAAAAAGTACTTTCTGACATGCAGAATTTCTAAGGAGAATGATCACTCTATGGATTGCCAGCAGGGAGTGGTTTCCTGGATGAGAATGACAACATTCAGTTTGCAATCAGAATAGTCTATAAGACCCCTGTGGCATTTGTCACCACTGTTAGTTCACAGTCCATACTATTTCTTTAAGAGTGGCAAAGCCAAAAACACTTATCATTACAAAATATCCAGGAGAGATTTGAGTTGCTCAAAATTCTTACACCAATATTTTTCACATCCTATGCATATCCAGCAAAAAAAGAAATAAACTAAATGCCTCAGAGCAAACTTTCAAACTGAACAACCTTAGATGTGAGTCAGGAAATCTTTCTGTCTAGAGGTAACTTTGTTAATAGAGAGATGAATAAAAATTGGGAAATCCTGAATATTCTTTGAGAACAATCACTTCAGAATTCAAAGGTACTCCATTCGGTTACCAAAAAATACCAGTTACTGACCTACTATACACAACCTTTTAGATCCCCAAAGATGAAGTCACTGTTGATGTTAGAGCAAAGAATATTATTGAAATTGGTCTCAATGAATTTTACTAAGCTGTAAATGATAAAATAACAGAATTTGAAGTCACAGTTACTGGAAAAATTGAAGAAACAGTAATTACTTAAAATTCCTGAAGACTGGGTACCTCTTCCAATAAAATCAAAATTGGATTTCACTTTATGGCTTAAACTCTAACCAGTGGGAGAAACAGAATTGTATCCACTGGGCAGAGAATCACAGAGTGGTTTGGGTCTTCATAGCTTTGTCGTGATTCTTGAAAAAATGTTTTCACTTCCCATTTCATTACCAAGAACAAGCAATAGGTAATTCATCAGTTTAAATTTTGTCTTAAATTTTCCTAGGAAGCAAATGAAATAACTTCCACCAATATAAATATATCTAGTAGTCTATGCTGTGCACTGAACCCAGTGCAGTCTTCCTTAGAACAAAATGTGCAAAAATTGCAGTTGTGCATGAAGAAAACATCAATTTTTTAAACACATCTGAAATATTCATTTTCCTTACTTTATATGCAAGAAAAAATATATAATGTTTTGCAATACAACACCACATTTCTCAATAGCCAAAGAAAACAAAATCTCTTCTGACTTCTGCAGTCTATTTCTGCTAGTATTAACTCAGATTACTGTACAAAAAAGGCACTGTTTTAAAGGTACTGTTACTGGTTCATAATATACAAGATGAGCTGGATTAGGCTGTCTTTTAGTTATAACTCCCTACACTATTTCTCCACAGATAATGCTACTGAAAAATAAACAGTCACATTTCTAAAAGTTCAGCTGTTGCTTTACCTGAATCAAGATACGAGAACATTTTAAATGACCAAAATCTTTATATCTAATTTTAGCTTAAAAACATTAGGATATTCTGCGATCGAGATACTTGAATTACTGCTTTTCTTCACTAACAATTGTTACTTGAAGAGACATAAATCTCCATTATTTATTTAATCCATAGTTTTCTGTTAAATTTATCTTCTTTCAATCATAACAAATGAAGCAGTCACTGTAGAGCAGTAAACACTATACATGAAGCCGAGGATTGTAATAAAAAAAAGCCCACACTGATTTTAAGTGATATTGACATAGAATATAAAAAGCTTCTGCTAAACAAACAAATAAAACATGTTATTTAAAGTCCCTTTCCACTAAGAGAGGAGAATTTAAAAACATCTGATGAAATACATTCTGTTTCCCATCATTTGAATGCAACCATGTGAACTGAATATATAATCAGGTTCAGATAAACAAATGATAATGATAACATAAGCAAAGCTATGTAATGTATTTGTTTGGAACAGTTTCTTGGTACGTTATCTAATGTAGGGATCTAATCCCGAAAGCACTCTTTGTAACAGCTCTAATGAAATCAGAATAAGAATTTGTTGGGTTTAATTTGGGCCAACTACTAAAGTCTTTCATTTTTGCTTTTTTTCCTGGTTTTTAATTGAACATTTTTAGTGATATGAAGTGTTATATTGTGTTTATGTCCAGATTATCAAACAAGCCAAGATAAAGAAGAAAAAAGAAAAATAAAACATTTTGTTTCTCAATGTCTTTTATGCCCTCAAAAAGTACGAGTCACTAAGTATTAAGTAGTGCTGCAGTTTCAGAGCTACGTGGAATGCCATGACGGAGGAAGGAGGCACAT